CCGAATCCGGTGTGCATTCGCACTAGCGGTCGGTGCGAGAATACAGCGTTGCACCATCAAATTGGCTTGTTCTATCGTCCCGGAAGAAGGATATACCAACTAACGCGATGCCGACGTATGTTATCTCGAAGCGCATCCATGCTTCTGTGATAGGATTGAGGTCCGATACTTTTGCGGAGTGTCGAATTTGCAAATCGTCTATCTTGCTAATAATTTTTGTCTCTCCATGCTTATGGATATACTATGACTGTCGTTTTGCATTGATTCCAGATACATAGTTTTCCACTCCTTCCTTACAAAAGGACAAACACTTGCACAGTCTCTTTGTTACCCAACGGCAGTCAGAACACTTGCTACGGGTTTCGTAAATGGTTTGGTGAACTCCCGTATTGAATAGGCCGTGTCCTCGGTGACATTGGGTTGTCAACGGAGCTTCCACTGGACGCTGTTCGACCTCTGCCGTATTCAACCGCAGATATGAAAGCAGTTTTCTGTGGAGCTCACGTCTACCTATGTCACAGGTCTGGTACTATTTGTCAGGAGTGTGAAGTACCGGATTCAGTCTCCTCTAGCTCCCTTTCTCATCTTGACCCAACCATGAAACAAGCGATAGATATATTTTCACGGGTGTTTTATCACCATTCAAAGCCTCGCTCTGAAACAGCACCATCATTATCTGCTGATAGCTCGGGTACACCACAGATGAGGTTAGTTACTCGCGGGTGCATACGCAGCAATTGTGTGTGTGGTTCATTTTTATCCGATTGGCGCTCACTGGATGAAATGTTGCAAAATATGCGCACTGCAGGTTGTCTATTCCGGGGACGATCATCATCATCCTCATCAATGCATGTTAGCCGAGGGCAAGAAACACACACTTCAGCCAATGTGCCGCAATGCAAAACAGATACGAGTCTAAACATTACAGATTACAAAGGATAGAATAGTAACATAATGCTAAAGCCACATTACTGATTGAATTGTGATCGCTGTTGGAGGGCGAAGCTAAATGGGCGGGAGGGACAAGAGACACAACAGAAGCGCCATTGAGGTCGGCTCCTCGCCATGTCAGCTAGTGTATCCATTTAAACGTGTTCATCGTCCTTGGGACTTCAGCCGGCCGTTCGGGAAATACTAAACGACACCAAGTTCGAAGTGAGATATTTCATTCCTCTAGACCAGAGGTCACCAACCTACGACCCGCTGGCTGGATCTGGCCAGCGATCTCAGTTCATTCGGCCCACGAACGACACTCGATTTTGAACACCCAACTAATGCACGTGCCTATCCTAGCCCAGTGTATACGGCCTTCTCACTTATGCACTTCCATCATGTCATTGCGTGACCCCATTCTGTCTGAACTCGTTCACGCGTTATCACCGTGGCATCACAGCTACGTTTGGCCTCTTCCTGTCGCCTATCAGCTTCGAGAGTTTGAGCGGTACTCTGCGTGTAGCCAATTGAACGGGACAACAAAGACCGCAATGCCGCACTTCGCACTGTAAGCTCGATTGCGTTTCGCATTCTCTAACCCTGAACACCCGTTTCACCCCAATCACCTGCTTGTACGTTAGTGTGCTTGTGACCCACGCAGTCGTGTCTGTCACGCGCATACGCCGCGGCGTTCGCGTGGCTGTGCATGAAATTGATCCATGTGACAGGCAAGCCACATTGTGGCTTAGTAAACTGCACGAAAGCCTCTTGTGAAGGTGAGCATGTCACGTCCTCGTGATAATTTTCGAGCCCATGACGTCCATGAGAAGTGTAACCTCGTGTAGACAATGGGAGGATGCTACAGGCGCTTCAACGCAGGTCAGAAATCCGCTTACTGTCGAGACGGCGAAGTGTCAGTGATAAATCAGATGGGCGGTAAGGTTGTCGTTGGACGATTTCGGTGTCTCTGCGGAATGTGCGGTTGCCACTCTCGGAACCGAAGTAGAAAAATGATGCCGCAAGCTGCTCATTTCAGGCAGCCGTATTCATATATTTTGCAACGGCCCTTGTGTGATATCTGTATTGTATGCTATAAAAGTTATGATCTAAGCTTCACATGCATATTTGCTGAGATGTAACTTCCACAGCAGCCACTAGTTCTCTGCTTGACAGGTGTTCTAGTAGGATGCTAACTACATTTCCAATTCAGTGTCTCTTACATTTTCAGCTCACGTGAACTGTATCGCTTTTTATGGCTACTGAGAAGAGGAAGGTGGACGCAGCATGTGGCGTTTTCGACGACGAATGGGGAGTACAGTATAGCGGTTTTGAAAGAGTACAATCTTCGGAGTCAGTATGAAACGAAACACCTATTATCATACTCCAAATATTCGGGGAAGTAACACTCGGAGAGATATGAGTCCATGAAAAGTTGTTTTGAAACACAAGTAAATCTCTTCACGAGCAAGTTTACTGAGAATAAAGATGCCACTGATACAAGTTACAAACTAGTTCATAAGATGACTGAACGAGTGAAGACATTGATTCCGAATTCTGAGATTTACCTTACCACACATCAGTACGATGGCTCAGTTGCGGTAAAATTCTCTTGCGTTTTTACAAACTCCGAAATGAAATAGTTGAGTTCCTGAATGAAAAACCTAAAGCTGGCTCACAGGTGTCAAATTTGACATTTATGGTCCATATCACATCCTACGTGAATCAGTTGAGTTCGAAACTGCTGGGAGAGGACAACCTCATCTGGGTTCTGTACAGAATCATCAAACGATTTCGGCGAAAGTTCTCATTGTTTGAAACACAACTGGAGGGAGCAAATTTTTCTCACTTTAACTGTCTCAAAGAGTTTTCGCTAGGATCGCCGAAGACGCCTTACTCGAGTTTCCGAGAGCAATTGTTCGTGAACTGGAAAGGCACTTTTGGATAGATTTTCAGATGTTGACAGGATTAGAGTGAAATTATTCTGTTCCGGAATCCGTATGATTGTAACCTTGATGATGTTCCAGCTGCAATAGTTAGAGGGAATTGACTTGCAAGCAAATGACTTTTGCAAACAGAAGCACAGGGAAAGACAACTTGTCAGCATTTACCGCTCCCTAACTGCTGTTCCATTTCCGGAACTGAGAAAATTTGCAGATGATATGGCGTCAGTGTTTGGGACCATCTAGGTCTGTGAGCAAACACATGCAAAAAGGAAGTACGTGAAATTAGCTCATGGAACGCGATTGACTGATGAACATTGGAAAGCATTTCTCCAGACCAGTTGCAGCCATTCCAAAGCAAACGTTGATGATATTGTGAAAGCCAAAGTTTCATTTCAAAGCTGACATTTTCGCAGCCCTTTGCAACTTCCAGATGTGTGTACATAAGTGAGGAAACTAACTTTTAGTTACGATCGTCTTTGTTAATAGATTTTCGCTTCATTAATATGTTGAATTTCTTTCATTTTTGTACTTGCACATCAGTCACTCATATTTACAACGGAATGTGCTATACAGTTGGCAGTAATTCCGTTAAGCGTCCACCTTTCGGCCTTTGTGTATTTCGCAAAATCCAAATCAGTCAGCGGCCGTCATTTCGTTCACGATCCGGCCCGCCTAGAATAAAGTTTGGCGACCGCTACTCTAGACCAAGTCATCGCTTGGCCTGCCCTCCTCTTCTCCCATCCAGACCCCGGGCGGGCAAACAAACCACGATGCGGGAGTCGGTGTGCTGGCATGCGCAGCACGTGGTCCAGCCATCGGAGCCTGGTGAGTGATATAATGGTGCTAATCAATTCACTCGCCCTTCCTGCACCAAATGCACAACGTCAAACACGTTAATATCTCGCGCGGCGTTCCAGTCAGACATGAGCTAAGCTGCGAACGCATTGATAGGACGAACCTTACTAGCCACATTTGTCGGCTGATCTAATGGGCTCCAACGTAAACTCTGACCTTCAGAGCTAGAGTAACATTCACGCCGGAGCCACAGTTGGCGGAGATTGACACAAACACCCCAAGGTTTCGCTATACAGTTCGTGACCACATATTCAATCCCACGGGTGTTAACATAGCTGCCGTGATAGGAAAATTTTTAAACGACTTCTAGCTGATAAGCATCAAGCACCAACGTACGAGTGGGTCCCTGCCATTCTTGGTGAAGGGCTTTACATTTCGATTGTGCAAGGTATCGCCCGTAATGACTACCAATCAGAGTTAATTTATCCAGTGCGGTTTGGCATGTTTGTGAGGTGTCACTGATGGGCACAATATTGTCGGCATACTTCAAGTCAAGAAGTCGTTCACCTGGGAGCAGCCCCACCCCATCCAAGTCGTGCCCGATGAATGCCGTTTCCATGTCTTCGGCAGTAGCGAAGTTAAATAACAACGGTGACAGCGAGCAAGCTTGTTTCACAGCGCTGGAGATATTGAAGGGCTGCAAAAGTTTGCCGTAAACACTCACACTGCCCGAAACATGCGGGTACAGTGCTCGTATGATATTTACATATTTTTTGGACACAGTAGACCTTTTCGAAGGACACATCGATCAACGGAATCAAAAGACCCTCTATGTCTAGGAACACGACCACGGTGGATCGCCAATATACACCGTGGTGCTCCAACAATTGACATAATGTGAAGACGAAGTCAATGCAGCCTCGATTTCGACGGAACGTGGCTTGCTACTCGCGCATCTAGCTTTCCAGTGTACCAGATAGAATATCGGTCGGTGGCAGAACGGTTACATTATCGTCCACTGATCTCGTTGTTAGCCTAAAGAGTCTAGACTCACCATGAGAAACTAAATGTAAATGTCGAGTGAAGGGCATTACACCACGATACTTAGCAGGAACACCAAGCTGATCACAAACGACCTCCTATTGGTCCAGACCGTCCCATTGACGGCATCTTACTGAGTTTGCTTTGCACTCACGAATGTTGGTACACCCAAGTGTTTAAGCATTTTAATTTGGCCTACTGTTCACTTGCACTGAGTGGCGGGGTGGTCGGTGGTGTTGGGGAGTTGCCGAATGTACTGGCCACGCATCGACAATTCATATTTTCCTTATGGCACTTGCAGTGTTCAAGACCACTGGCATATGCGCTGGGTTCCGTTGGACTCACAGCTCAAAATATTGGGATCTTGATTTCAATATTCCCTCCTCGACTAGTCGGCAAGTGAAGGCCAAGGTCACACTTGGGAATGTGAGGACTGTCCGTGACGTTAAGCTACGTCTTCAGGATGAGCCGAACGATAAATGCAGCGCCCGTACTGAGGAGAAGCAAAGCGATGATGAACGTGATTAAGAAGGTGAAGACTTCGAAGAGGAGGTCGAAGCCACGGAGGAGGAGGAAGTGGAAGAGGCAGAAATGGGTGAAAAGAGAGAAAACATTGGTCAGTTGCCCAAAGCACTCGACATGCAGCTCATCAGTGGACGTAAAGGTGTAGGTGATCCAGGCGTTTACCATAACAGAACCCTAGAGCGAATGAAGAACAGCTTTGCAAATCGCCGATGCGCCCAGTCGCTTGTTGGTACACCAAACTACATTGCTCCCGAAATACTCCGAAGACAAGACTACGGACAGTCTTGCGATTGGTGGTCTGTCGGGGCTATTTTGTATGAGATGTTGGTAGGGCAGCCACCCTTCTTGGCACAGACGGCAACGGACACTCAGCTACGTGTTATTCAGTGGTACAAATATTTGAATGTTCCCGGAGAGCCCCGTTTGCATTCGGAAGAAAGCTCGTTGATCAGACAACTGGTACGTGACCCTGCGGACCGACTGGCCGATCCAGCGGTGATAAAAGCCCATCCGTTTTTCGCACCCATCGCTTGGGACAAATTGACAACGCTACAAACGCCGCACATTCCCACAATCAAAGATAAACTGGACACATCCAACTTCGACCCGGTTGACAATGAACGTGCGCTGTTAAAGCACCCGTTTCCTAAGTTACTTGCTGTTTGGCGGAGTTCGGACTCTGTCCTCTGATCGATATTGCGAGTATTGCCGAAGGTGCATCGTTCGTTGTACCTGATGGGGAAATGACAGTTGGACTGCACGTGATTCGATCGACTGTAGTGAAGGATTGCTTTCGGGTTCCCAACAGATTTGGCACCACAGTGCTGCCAGAAAACCCGGCCCTATCTCGTGCTCTTTCGCTATGAATCCAAGCTAAGTTGCAGCCACCAAATCGTCGCAAGATCTCAATACTTTTAGGATGCAGATAAAGAGTGGAAACGTTCTATACGTGGAAAGGAACAAAAGAGAGTAGGGTGAATGTTGTTGTTAATTTACTACCGTTACTATTAAGTTAACGCATTCGACGTGGTGCTAGCTGAAATGACAAAAGCACACCGGTCATAATTCAAGCAATATTGCACATTCTGCAGATCAACAATGGTGCCACAGCGAAATTAATTTGCGTTAAGTGCAGTGGGATATGCAAGGGAAGAAGCTGCTGAAAGTCGACGACTGCAGGGCTGAGCGGTGGACGTACTCTTTATTAACTTCTCCAAAGTGTTTGACTCCGTGCCGCATTCTCGTCTTGCCCTTGAGATAAGCTTTTGTGCCGTCTGCGGACACGCGCTTCAGTGAGTCTCAGTATTTCGTGAAGGAAGAGAAATGTGTGTTCGAGTATGCGCTAGTCTTTCCTTCCGACAAGCGGTTCTGAGCGGCGTCACACAAGGATAAGTCCTTGGTCCACTGCTGTTTGCTGTGTACGTTAACGAACTTCCGGAAGTGCTGGGGGCGCCGACCTTTATGTTCGCAGATGACTTGCAATTCTAGTGCATGGTGAGTGAATCTGGTGGCTCCCAAGCTTTGCAACAATCTCTCAACAGACTACTTGATTAACGCGTTCTGTGGCAGATGCCAACAAACCACAAAGTGTCCAGTTATGCGCGTAAGACAAAGTGACACGTAGACGCGCTACATGCTTAACGGGAACGAATTACCTCATATGTCCCAAAAAGTTGACTTAGGTGTTACGGTAGGTCCGGAATTCCAATCCAGAAAGAAGTTAAAGCGAGAGGCTAGCTAGGGCTTCCGAACCCTCTGGATGATCCGTAGATCATTTGGGATGCTGACGGGAATACGTTCATTAAATTGTTTACAGCCTTTCTTAGACCACACCTGGAGTACTGCGTCCAAGCTTGTCCTCCTTGTCTGACTCGTGACAGCATGGCGGTACCGAGATGATCCGAGTGCTGCAGCACCTGTTCTACCCTGACAGATTGCTCAAGATGCATGTTCTCACTACACTATCGTCGTCTTCGTGACGACTTAATTCTTTCTTATCCTATACTAACAGGTCGGATCGGCCCAGACCTATCCTAGCTTATTCTTCTTGCTCAGTTGCCTACTCTTCGTGGGCATACGTTTGCGTTTCACAAAATCCGGTGTGAACGGGTTCAGCTTGACAACGGTATTTTGCGTAGAGTGATAAATTCCTGGAATCTGCTACCCGAGGATGTCTTATTGCCACCAAATGTTGCAGAGTTTAAACGTCGCCTTGACGCCCTTGACCTGCAAATACGAAAATTCTCTTACTTTAGTTTTCCTTTCTATTACAACTCAGTTGCTGTCCTGCTCACTTACCCGTGCCCAATTCCTGTACAAATTTTGTATCTCTCCCACTTTATGTCTAGACTACATTTTTACTCTTCGTTTTCTTATTGTGTGTGGCCGGCGCTGCGCAGCGGGGCCTGCAATCGCGGGGAGAATGGGTCTTGATTGGACGACTGTAGGACAAGGTAATACTAGTGCGATACGGTGCGCTAAATAAAGCACGGATATCAGAATGCAATTGGAGTGGGACACAGCAGAATGTATTAAATAGGCTACAAGAAAACGCAGAAGGATGAAGTGCGACAAGACCGAATACGTGAGCGCGGGAAATTACAAGGCGGACGAGTGTCGAGCTGGTTGCAAGGACGAGTAAAACAAGAAAGAATAATTAACAATGGATTAACAATAACTTGTACCGAGGGTTTTATAAGAGTCTTTCGATTCTGCTCAGTCGCTCGTAGATCAGCCGCGCAGGTCAGGGTGAGATTGGAGCGCACTAATTTGCCGACCCACCAATGGCATATAAGTCTACTGTATTTACTCACCCACGCATGTCTGGGGGTGTGAATACGACGTGAGGACGCATAGCGGTGCATGTGTCCTTGAAATATGTTAATTACCCCCGGCGATTTTGACACCGCTCAGTTCAGATTGGGTCGCTGCCGACGTTTTTGGCTGGTGGTTTGCAACATCTCGACAGCAGTGCATAATGCATTGGCTACCGTGTTCAAATGTTGGTGGCGCTTCGACAGTTGCTTAATGTTATCCCAGCAAATGATAAAAGGGTTAGTGACAACGCTGTTGTAGACAGAATGTTACCTTCACATAAACCACCTTAGCAAAATAAGAATTCGTAACAATTAGACGGTGAAAATATGAGATGCTACTTCTGCATAAATGAGTCCGGAAAAGCTGTCGTTGACAGACTACTCCCGTCACAGTCTTGATAGCAATTGCAGGAACCAAGTGGGGTGCACGCTGTCTAATTTGTTTAACAGTGACCGTGACGGTGTAACATGAAAGGCTGACAGTGTCGCTCAGTCTCTCAGTCTCTCAGGAAAACGTAGGTGTATATCAATCGAAATGATCGTTACATGCTGCCGTGTATGCCAATTAAGGGACTACTCGCTGCACGTGTTTGTGGAGAAGGACTGCCGATGAAATCGCATTGTATGCGTCATTGCACAAAAACGATCGAGGAGCTGTGTCTAAGCTAAGCCCAAGAAGATGCCATCAATTGCACATAATCGCACCCTGTCCGTGTATTCCAGAAACAGCTTGGGACAAATTTGTGGGCACGTTCACATCCCTAGTCGCGAAGGCATCAGAACCGAAAGCTTTTCATCCTCCCCTCAAAACGAAATCTTTTCAGAGAAGCCGAACACGAAAATATATGGCCTTGAGGGACCGGACTTGGCATGGTTATAGAAACAATCGCAGTTCAGAAAATTGGACGGTGTACGCAACTCAGGCGAACGACTCTGTGCACTTGGTGCGTGAGGACAAGTTCACAAACTAGCAGTTTGATCCGGCGTAACATTCACTGCGGAAACGGTACTGAAAATGCCATTATCCTTGCGTACACACAGATCTCTTGGAGTGGACAATATCCACCCCAAAAGCACTAAAGGTAACAATCACGCACCTAGCCGGATTATTTCAGCCATCTCTGGACTGCAACATAGCTCCGTCAAAGTGGAAACTAGGTTTCATCAATCCTATTCACAAGGGAGCAAGTCGGTACGAGCCTGCCAATAACCGCCCGGTAATCTTCTCCCGGTGTTCGCCAAAGTTATGGAAGAAATTCTGGCCGACGCATTGACGGGCTATGTGGAATGCCATGGTATCTTTATCTACGATCTAGCCAGTGTAATCACCCCAACCCTGTCGGCCAACGAGACCTTTCGGCGCTGAGGCCCATCTATAGGTACAACGATTTCTTCCGTGTACGCTGCTCACGCTAACGTCTTGTTCTCTTCAGGCAACTCCCACAATATTCCCTCCACACTGACGCAATATCGGCACCATTAGCCATAGCAGCAATTTAGTCCTGAAGTCAATGGTTATGCGAAAGATGTATTGAAATGCAGTACGTAAAACAAGTATAACAATCAACGCAGTAGATGCTCGAAATGCCCACCGCCGTTTTGCTGGCACAGCAGCATTCGCCGGATGCTGTTGGCTATAACCCTCTGCAATGCGTCAACCGATATCGCGCGACATTCTTCCACGATGCTCCGCTTCAGTTCTTCCACACACGTGGGTTTCACTTTATAAACTCTTCGTTTCAGGTATCCCCAAAGGAAGAAATCAAGGGGATTCATATCCGGTGAACGTGCCGGCCACTCCATTGGTCCTCCCCGACCAATCCATCGATGACCGAATGTGTCGTCCAGGAACTGACGCACGGTTTGTGCTGAATGGGCCGGTGCACCATCCTGCTGCCACCAAACCGTACTCAACAGTCCTTCCACATGCAACCGCGGAATCACCCACGTCTGCAACATTTCTTTGTATGAAGAGGCTAAGAGGTGTGATGTATTAGTTCTGCTACACAACTTACCCGTCACATTTTGAGAAAAGAAGAAAGGTCCGATGATTGTTCGACTTGTTAGTCCAGCCCAGGCCATGAGCTGTGTGCCATGTTGCACACGGGAAGCGATGCATTGCCGTGGGTTATTGGTGGCCCAAACATGCCGCTTCTGTGTACCATGCAGACGGAAAATGGCCTCATC